TCCCAATCCTGCTGGAAAGGCATAACAAGTGGGGTACCGCAGGGGTCTGTTTTGGGACCAGCTCTGTTCAATATCTTCATCAACGACTTAGATATTGGCATAGAAAGTACGCTTATTAAGTTTGCGGATGATACCAAACTGGGAGGGATTGCAACTGCTTTGGAGGACAGGGTCATAATTCAAAATGATCTGGACAAATTGGAGAAATGGTCTGAGTTAAACAGAATGAAGTTTAACAAAGACAAATGCAAAGTGCTCCACTTAGGGAAAAAAATCAGTTTCACACATACAGAATGGGAAGAGACTGTCTAGGAAGGAGTACGGCAGAAAGGGATCTAGGGGTTATAGTAGACCACAAGCTAAATAGGAGTCAAGAGTGTGATGCTGTTGCAAAAAAAGCAAACATGATTCTGGGATGTATTAACAGGTGTGTTGTGAGCAAGACACAAGAAGTCATTCTTCCGCTCTACTCTGCTCTGGTTAGGCTTCAGCTGGAGTATTGTGTCCAGTTCTGGGCACCACATTTCAAGAAAGATGTGGAGAAATTGGAGAGGGTCCAGAGAAGAGCAACAAGAATGATTAAAGGTCTTGAGAACATGACCTATGAAGGAAGGCTGAAAGAATTGGATTTGTTTAGTTTGGAAAAGAGAAGACTGAGAGGGGACATGATAGCAGTTTTCAGGTATCATAAGAAGGAGGGAGAAAACTTGTTGACCTTAGCCTCTAAGGATAGAACAAGAAGCAATGGGTTTAAACTGCAGCAAGGGTGGTCTAGGTTGGACATTAGGAAAAAGTTCCTAACTGTCAGGGTGGTTAAACACTGGAATAAATTGCCTAGGGAGGTTGTGGAATCTCCATCTCTGGAGATATTTAAGAGTAGGTTAGATAAATGTCTATCAGGGATGGTCTAGACAGTATTTGGTCCTGCCATGCGGGCAGGGGACTGGACTCTATGACCTCTCGAGGTCCCTTCCAGTCCTTGAATCTATGAATCTACCCAGCATGGTGTAGACACCGCAAAAAGTTGACCTACCGTACGTCGACTCCAGCTACATTATTCACGTAGCTGGAGTTGTGTCGACTTAGCCCCATAGTGTAGACCTGCCCTAAGACTCTGAACCTACACTGAACAACATGAGGGCAGACCCCCATGGCTTAGTCTATACGGCAAAGTTTTGCTGGCATAACTATGCGAGCTAGGAGTATGGGGGGGAAAAAATCAGACATCCCAACTGACATAGCTAGGGCAGCAAAAGCCTTAGAGTAGATGCAGAGATACCAGCAAAAGAGTCGATTCACTGACATAGCTTATGTCATTTGCGGAGGGGGTTTAACTGTGCTGTCAAAAGAACTCCTTGTGTCAGTATAGCCCGTGTCTCTTCTAGAGGCTTTTTAGGCATAACTCTACTGGTATACCTATGCCAGCAAAGCCTTTGTAGTGTAGACAAGCCCTTAGAGTCAGTGAGGCTCAGAGCGGGCAGACGTGCCTGACCACATAGAGTTGTTTGCAGGATCTAAGTCCCAATCAGCAAATCTGTATCAAACACGGAGCCCCCAAATGCCAGTTTTGCAGGGTCTCTTTTCAAAGTATAATGGCACTTGAACATGTAATAGATGTGGTTCTATTTCAGTACTTGGTGTAGTAAATGGTTTCTTGCTAACTGGACTCATTGGATATTAACAAAACAAGCAGCTCCTTGGAATCACAGCTCAGTCTCTCTGGCATTTCTCAATCATGCACCTCTCTTGTGAATGCTTTGAACCAACAATCAATAAAAAGCAAAGTGCATTTTAATGTATAACAAAGTAGGTTCACTTTAAGTACATTTTTTCTCCAAATTCACAACCTACAAGGTCACCATGAAGCATAAAATAATCAAAGTGTACCCAACATTATATATGAATATACATAATATATAGAGAGCAAGTCATAAGTAACAGAGCTAGGCACTAGATACACTGAAAAGTCTCTTCTCTGAACCCTGATCAACAGTACAGTCTCTTTCTGACTGCACATGTGTGCTGCAAAAGGGTGATGAACAGAGCTTTTAATTAGAACAGCTATTGTTTTCATTGCAACTCCTACAGAATTTAGGATTCTATTCTTCTCTTAGGTTTGCACCACACAGTTTTTGTATCAGTATAATTATGTCAACTAGGGGGCTGATTTTTATATGAATGAGTTACACCAGCCCAACCCCTGCTGTTGATGAAGTTATAAATGTGCTCAGACTGGTATAACTACACCCACAGTAGGGGCATTGTATTACTTTAACCAGACTGGCATAGTTGGTGGCACAACTATTATGTACAGACAAAGCCATGGGGTGTACCAGGAGGGAAGGGTTTAAAGAAGTGCTTAGTATGAAACTATGTTAATGCAAACTAGGTATCTTTTAGTTGGCACCAGCAGGGTCTACCTGGGGCAGTTAGAGGGCAAGACTTTGCAGCATGCTACAAAGCACATCCCCATAGTCCGGACTGCCCTAACTCTTCGCCTGTTGGCTTCAACAGGAGCAGAGTTTGGCCACCGCTGAGTGCTTTGGCAAAGCCGACGTCATTCTATTAGTAGTAAAGGGAGGTAGGCACACACACCGTGGTGGGAGGGAGTCAGACCATTGACACAGCTTTGATCTGCCAAGGGGAGGGTGAATTTAGGAACTGTAAGTAAACTCAAAGTTGCTTTTTCAGCTGAAAACTTGCACTTGGTGCTGCCTACTATTCGGATTCAGATTATAGGCACCTTTATTATAACGGAAAACTGCATCTTTTTTTTTTTAACTCTGCTTATTTTTTGTGGTTCACAATATCTTTCATTTTATTTGAAAACCCCTTTGGCCCTGTAGGCCTCTGAAATCAAACTAAATTACAGATGCCTATTTCTTTTTAGTTTTGGCTTTATTAAGGGCCCAAAGTTGTCATTGTCTTGAGTGGGAATTGATACCTGAAAGATCAGGCTTTAAATTATTCATTCAAATCACAGACATTCTATACCATTAACCAAGCCTTCTTGATATCTGTTTATAATGAGGGCAGAAACATTTAAAATTACTGTACTAAAGAAAGCAGGAGTATTGTTTGAGGCTGATGTAGACTTTGCATTACTAGCACTGGACTTTCGATGAATAAAGTACATGCACTAGAGCTGATTGAAAAAAGTGCTTTTTCCCTATGAAACACTTCAACTTTTTGGTGTAAAAATCAACTCCCCAAATATTTCCATTTAGAAATGCCACAGTGGTGTCTCCTGGGAATTGTAGTTCTGGTACCTTGTGTTCCCATTCTCCTCTACAGGCCTCGCTCCCTAGTTGGACTACATCACCCAGGATACATCATGGGAGTCTCATGGCCATGGTGCATCATGGGCAATAAAGTCTGGCTGGGGGGCACAGCCCACAGAGGAGAATGAGGACATGAGTCACCCAAATTGCAACTCCCATAAGGTACTGCTGAATAAAATATTTCAATTTTTGGCCAAAATCAGAAAACTTTTCATTTGTTTGGCATTTGGTTATTCAATGGAAAATCAAAAATTTCCATGGAAAGCAGACACTTTCAATGTAAAACTGCATTTTGTCAAAACCCCAATTTTCCATCAAAAAACAGTTTGACAGAAAATTTTCGACCAGCCCAAACATACACAAAACTTCCCAATATTTTTTCCACTTAACTGACAGTAGTTGGGTCTTTGTGGCTCCATTTAAATACAGAGGACTTGATTGAGCAAAGCACTTAAGTTCTTTTCTAAAGAGAGATGGAGCTAAGCACATGCTGAAGTTAATTAGGTGCTTCAGTCGTATTGAGGTCAGTCAAACACATGCTTAACTTTAGCATGTGTGTAATTTGTTTGGTGAACTGGGGCCAGAAAAAGGACAACAGATATGTACTGGGGCACAGATAACTTTGCTCGGGGGCAGAACCCTGGTGGAGGCACTAATGTATAAAGTTTTGTGAAAGTCCAGAAATTTGATATAATGGATAATCAATGACATGACAAAAATATAAATAAACTGTTGAACTATGTGACACCTGGCTTTAAGATCCAATATTTCATAACTAGAAAAGGGCAAGGGGGGAATAAACAAAAAACTCCCTTGGCGGGTCATTGAAAATAAGTTTGGAGTGGGTAAAATCTTCCTGAGCTGAGTGATCAAAAAGATACGCACTCAATCCCTGATTGTAGATTGCTCTGTATGAATCACCTGGTTGAGTTCAACTGGAATCCCAGAGGGATACGTTACAAATGCATACAGTATTCAATATGGTATTTTCTCTGCATGCCCAAATAGGGGCTAAGGCGATATGCTCAAGTATCCTGAAGGCAGATAGGGAGAGACAAATAAAACACATATTAGTATACAAACAAGATTGTTGCCAGGCAATGGCACATTCCTACATTGATAATGCCACATCAAAGCATTACACATTATATATTTATACCCAATGACTAGATAGGGCGTTGAAGCAGCCACATGGAGCAATGGCTCTAAGTCAACTATATTCCAATCAGGTTCAGAGATTTGGCATCAGCCAGCCACTGTATAGAACATCACACACCAGCAAATACCACATTGGGCCAAATCCTTCTCCTATTTACTTTTCAATGGGCTTGCGTGGGGGAAACAAGGAGAATCTGGCCCAGTGTCCTTATATATGAGCTGAGCCAAATTCTGGGCTGAACTACATCTTGTGCAACTCCACCAAAATCATTGCCATTGCATAAAATATAATGTAACACAATATGCAGCATACCCTATCTATTGACTCTCATGGCTTTTGATAAACAAGTCAGCACAGTACATAGAAAAGTTACCATAAGCCTTGGCTATATTTATGTGGAGAAAACAACTGTGTGGCCAATACATGTAAAGCAGTGGTTCTCAAACTGTGGGTCGCGACCCCATTTTAATGGGGTCGCCAGGGCTGGCTTAGATTTGCTGGGGCCTGGGGCTGAAGCCTGAGTCCCACTGCCCCAGGCCAAAGCCAAAGCCCAAGGGCTTCAGCTCTGGCTGGCAGGGCTCAGGTTACAGGCCCCGTCTGGGCTGAAGCTCTTGGGCTTCAGCTTTGAACCCCCCCCACCACCACCTGGAGCATTGGGGCTTGGGCTTTGGCCCCCACACCTAGGGCTGTGGGGCTCGGGTGGCCTCAGGCTTTGGTCCCCATTCCTGGGGATCTATAGTAATTTTTGTTGTCAGAAGAGGGTCATGGTGCAATGAAGTTTGAGAACCCCTGAAAAGTAAAATAAGTCAGTACAAGGCATATAGGCATCTTTGTTAGCACTGATACCCTTGGGTTGATTTCAGTCATTCGGTCATGTACAGTCATTCGAGAGGTAGATGCTGCTTGGATTTAGAAGTGCTCCCATTCCATATCCAGATCATATCACGCACAACTTCCCAATGGACAAGAGCACATGCACAAATAATGTTTGCAAAGACTGCGACCATATCTTCACCCCCTTGAATTAGAACTCTGGGCCTTAGTGTTCAAGCAGGAGATCGGACAGCAGCCTTATGGAATTTCTATTGCAACATCTCAGACATTTTTCGTACATCTGTGTCGTCTTGTTAATTACCTGACCTGGAAAACTCATTGGAAACTCCAAATACTTGTTCCCAGTTTTTTAAAGCTTATGGTGGCTCAGTTACTTTAGTGCCTAATCCAGTTATTGGTGCTTAATTCTCCTTGGCTCTACTCAGAAGATCAAGCAGAAGACAACTGGTTAAGAGGAGCACAGTTTCTTCAGTAGAAAATGCATGAGTGTTCAAGTTCGTCTCTGTGGAATCCACAGTAGAGTGTCTCAGGAATGTGTGTGTGTTCACTTAGAAAAAGCCACCAGCAGCAACAATTATAATAATATCGAAATATTCACACATCAGTAGGGGAAAAAAAGGCTTGCCAATCCAAGGCCATGAAATCAGTCCACAGCTGGGAGCAGGGTCTTTTCCTTCTCTATTGCTACATTCCCTCTCAGTACTTGAGGAAACACACACTGTCTTTAGCAATTGTAGGAGTAAATTCCATGGAGGCATTCTCTTCGTTTTGGTGACACTGCTGAGCAGAAAAAGAAGAGATGAGTTAGAATCGCAATCAGTCAAGGAAAAAAGGAGGAGCAGTGTCAGCATCTCAGCAGAGCGATGGAAGGGGAAGATTAATATATTCCAAGGCCAGAAGGATCACTGTGATCATCTAGTCTGACCTCCTGTATAGCACAGGCCAGAGACTTTCCCCAAAATAATTCCTAGAGCAGAACTTTTAGAAAAACATCCCATCTCAATTTAAAAATGGTCAGCGATGGAGGATCCAACCATTTGGAATTAACCAATTGTTCCAGTGGTTAATTACTCTCACCATTAACAATTTACACCTTATTTCCAGTCTGAATTTGTCTTAGCTTCAACTTCCAGACATTGGATTGTGTTAGACCTTTCTCTGCTAGACTGAAGAGCACATCATCAAATATTTGTTCCTCGTGTAGGTACTTATAGACTGTGATCAAGTCACCCCTTAACCTTCTCTTCGTTCTGCTAAATAGATTGAGCTCCTTGAGTCTATCACTATAAGGTATAGTTTCTAATCCTTTAAAATCATTCTCATGGCTCTTCTCTACACCCTCTCTAATTTACCAACATCTTTCTTGAATTGTGAGTGCCAGAACTGGACACAGTATTCAGCAGCAGTTGCACTAGTTCCAAATATAGAGGTAAAATAACCTCTCTACTCCTACTCAAGATTTCCCCTTTTGTTCACCCCAGGATCACATTAGCTCCATTAGCTACAACATCACACTGAGAGCTCATGTTTAGCTGTTTATCTATCACAGCCCTAAATCTTTTTCAGAGTCACTGCTTCCCAGGACAGGGTCCCCCATCCTGTAAGCATGGCCTACATTCTTTGTCTGTAGAAGATAACTCTGAAGCCAGATATGCAGACTGGTAACAGCTGGCTGCAGATCTGAGAAAATATATTTATCTTCTTTGATTGGAAATACATATTAGAATACAGTTGTCCTCTGGACTTGAAGCCGTGTCTGCCACAATCCAGGTGAATGCTCTAACAACTAGGCTGTTTTCTAGTGGGTCTCTCTTAATTGCTCCTGTTGGAGCTGTCCTATTTTGTATAAATCATTAAATATTCCTGGGCCTGCAGAAAGATAGACTCAGCCTTGTGGGGAAGGCACTCAATGGGGGTGTAGGTGATCCAGGTTCAAGTCCCTGATCTAAGACTTGAACTTGGAATTCCCACATCACAGGTGGGTCCTTCACTTTGACCAGAAATTTAATCCTGGGCCTGAGAAACCTTCCCATCAAAACTGATGTGTCATTTCCATGACAAGTTTCAGTTTTGATGAATCAGCATTTTCTGATGAGGGTGGGGGTGGGGAATGGGGGTGGTATTATTGAAAAAATCCCAACCACCTCTATTTCAGGTGTTCAATTTGGGACACCAGAAATGGCTGTGATTTTTAGGAAGTACTGAGCACCCATCTTGTGAAAGATGCCCCTTTAAGGGGTCTCAGGTTAGGTGCCCACAAAAATTAGGCATCTAAAATCACTAGCCACTTCTCAAAATTTGGCTTGTAGGCCAGAAATAGCTTGTACTATTGGTTCAAGGATCGTTATTATAATAGACTTTTCAAATAGTGCTTTGAACACAGACTGTGTAAGGGGTTGTGAAGAAGAATATGCTGAAATGGCATTGTTAAGATAAAAAGTGGGCTTGTTTACATTTTTAAAGCCATTTTTATAGAACAATGGCCTTCAAGAAATACTGATATCCCAGACATCTTCCTTCCTCAATGGGTTGAAAGCTTTTGGCTCTCAGTTGCAAGTATTCAAAATCCATCTGCATTGTGTCTGTATAACTACAATAATTACAAAACCAAACCTTATATAACGTTCATGTCTCAGCTTGTCACTTAACATGCACAGCTCGGTTGTTCTTGTGTCTGTCAGTTTTCACACCTTCACATATGCCCCCCTCCCTCACCTTGAGCTGAATATTGTAAGTGAAGAGCTGTTGCTGACTCTTCATCTGCCTATCTGTTAATGACACGGGAGGAAAATTTGGTTCCAACTGGTAGAAAGGTCCCCTCAACCCAGCTTCCATGGGAGGAGTCACTGAGGAACCCAGAATGGGTTCCTTAGGCCTTTGGAAGTTACACATTTTTGGATTGCTCTCACCATGACAGGGCATGGTATTTTGTTGCTGGGGAAGAGATGTCACATGAGTGGCTTTAGGAAACGCAACATCATTTTCAAAGGATAAGCCACTGTTTTCATATTCCCATGAAGCTAACATGACATCACTAGATAACGTACTACATGATGAGGACTTCAATGAGCTTTCAAGAATATTGTCCATTTGCTGGTTTCCCACCCGGGAGCGAACGTGACACCAGCTACTTGGCTCCAAGGAGCTGGCCAGTGGAAATCCATTGTGTTGAATTTGAGTTGGCCTGCAATGAGCTTGAGGATACATCCTTGCTTGCATCAGCTGCTGTTGCTGTGTTGACAACTGTTTGTTCTGAAGCATCTGCTGCTGCTCTTTATTGTAAAAATGTGGCACTAAGTGAGGTCCATGTGAAGAGGTATGTTGGGGAAAGGAATGGCTTCCAGACAGGTGGCCAGCTTCTAATGGACTAGATTTTTGCTCAAGAGAACCAGATATTTCATTCTGTAGAGCTTGCACTGGAGACACCTGCATTATGCTGAATTCTTGCATGCCCTGATCATTGTTATGAGCAGGCTGTGATGAGGAAATCCATGGATTTGTTACTTGTGATCCAAAAAGATTCAGTTGGTTATTTGCCAGTAGAGTTGGTGACTCTATCTCCATTGGTTTGATTCCCAGCTGATTTGGAGTGGCAGATTTCCAAACATCTAACGAGTGACCTCTTGGAGAATTATTCTGATTGAAAGTGATGACTGGATTCATTGAAACCAATGGGTCTGGCCACTGACTCTCTTGTGAATTCATTTTTAATGGAGCTGGATGATTTGAGTCAAGCAGAGTTGAGCTCCGATGTATCTGATTTTTAGGAATAACTTTCCCCCAGGAAACTGGAGCAGGAGCCTTTGGCTGAAATACCTGTGCAGGATTTGTTAGATTAATTCCCGTAGTTTCCTGGTTATTGAACCCCAAGGAATTTAGTATATTCCCACTTAGCAAATTTGCTTGATCAAAACGTGCTTGCTTTTCTGGTTTAGAAGTGATATCCTGGGACATATTGGTGACTAAAGGACCCTGAGGATCATGGTCTAGTGAATTTTGCTGTGAAGTAGACATTGGATTTTGGAATCCACATGGTGTAGCGGCTGCTGAATTAGCCCCCCAGAAATGGTGACAATTCACCAGGGGATTGCTTTGCTGATTGCATTTCCTATTATTGACAAGCTGGTTTTGAAGTCTGTTTAGCTCAGTGCTTTGTGGAATTTGTTCCAGAGGAATTTGTTGAATAAGGGCCTGAGATGAAGCCGTCACATCATACCGTGGGAACCCCAGATTCTTTCCATTATCTTTTTTAAACAATATCTCCTCCACACAGGAGGTCACCTTGTCATTCAACCTCTCCTGGAAACCCGGGGCCACTGGCTTCTTGGTGTCCATGTTGCACAAGATCTCCTCCCATTGCTTTAATTCCAGGTCATCCATTTCCTGGCTCTGCAGAGTCTTAGAGATGTCACCATCCACATTGCTCTTTTCAAAGGGTGTTTCAATGACGACTAGGAGTGAGTCATTCTCTTTGACAGCTCTCTTATTTCCATCATCGAGCCATGGCTCTTCCGGTATGTCGACAATATCCGCCAGGGAGAACTGTGGCACATTATCGGCGTGGGAGACGTATATGGATTCGTCTTGGTTCATCATGGCCCCTAGGAGCGAGTTGGGATCTATTGAGCCCGGCTCCAGGGGGGTCTCTCTCTTTGCCTTTGAAACCTTCTTGGTGTGCAAGTAGTCCAGGAACCCGGGCGGACTGTTTTCATACAGGACTGCTTCACCCGTGGCAAAGTGAAAAGGTAGCTGCAGGCTCCGCTTGCACAAATGCTCCTCTCCTTCTTCATTCCTGCAGGTATATGAATGGGACATTAAGAAGAGGGTGACAGGACAATGAAATACATAGGGCTAGGCAAAAAACAGCTGCTAGAGAGCGAGACGAGAGCCAACAAGTTGGCATCGGTTTGGGTGTTTTATCTATTTAAAACCCTACAATTGGGGGGCGGTTGTTTGTTTTGGGGGGATGGGGTTGGACAAGTTGCTTTGTTTTCTGGCTTGCTCTGAAATGGGAAATGCTCCCAACTCGGATAAATGGAGCCAGAGATTGTGCCGAGAGTCAGTGTGACTTACGTAGCTCTGCTGAAAGGCTACTTTTCATAGGTTTTGGTTTTATAGATGTTAAGACCAGAAGGGACCATTATGATCAGCTAGTCTGACTTGCAGAACACTGGACAGTTTGTCAGCCTCTGATCTAGAGATCTGCCCCAGATCTGAACACCCCTAAACTTTGGGGAAACTTGGATGCCATCTTTGAGGCTTAGGACCAGATACAATTTCAACACAGCTGCATTGCAGCATGGCAAGTGATTTTGTCCAGGCCCTGAGGAAATAGGTGCTGTGGGATGAAATCCTGACTTGAGTGAACTCAGTAAGAGTTTTGTCATTGACTTCAATGGGGCCAGGATTTTACCCTTGCCATCTGCAGGGACACTTACGACAGGGCCCGCTGTCTGGAAATGATGCAGTCCGGTTGGCCTCCTTTATACACCAGTCTCGCATTTGCTTGGACCCAGAGCCAGCCTGCTTTCTTCGTCAGTAGCCTGAAAACGGTGATTCCGCTCTCTCCGGTTTTCATAACTAGGGCAAACAGAAGAAGGTAGCAAGATAAGCTCAGCAAAATGCAGCAAGAAATAGCCCTCAGCCTGCTCCTGTCTATTACATCTAGAAAAAAATTACCAACAGAGATCTGCAGAACCATTTCACGGTCCAACTCACAAACCATGCAGGCAAAACCTTTACAGTGAGACTGCCAAGTAAGGCCAGGGCATAGCTATACAAAGTGTATAATGTTAAAGGAAAACCTTACTGGCCCTGGGTTCATTGCCTGGGATCAGCACTGGGCTATAAAACCTCAGGTTTCAGGGTTTAAACCAACCTATAACTACTAGGGATGAGAATGAGACCTTCATGGGGCAGATTACCACACACAACTGCCTATTAGAAGCTCAGAAGATCTGGTGCTGGCCAAGATACTGGGCTACATGCACTTCGGGGGTGATCCAGTCTGGCTATTCCTATGTTCCTATGAATTTTCTCAGTGACTTTGAGACATTTGAGTCTTGGTGGTGTGACATGTTTGTCCATTAGCTTTTCATATCTGGAGGGCTGCGGTCAAATCAAACCTGGATCACAAATGAGTGATTTCAGAAGGTTTGGTCAGATTCCTAGTGGATGTCTGTCTACATCACAGAAACACAGCACAGCTTAACAAAATGGGCAATTTCTGGATAGGACAAGGTTAGGACTAAACTAACATGGGCTGCTGCAAGTCAGAATTCAGAGCTTGTCTACATGTGGAAGTTTACCAGTATAACTCTACCAGTATAATTATACCACTATAGTTATGCCAGTATAGCTACCTGGCTTAGCTCATACTCAGAGGCACTCTATGGGAACAAGTATCAGAGGGGTAGCCGTGTTAGTCTGAATCTGTAAAAAGCAACAGAGGGTCCTGTGGCACCTTTGAGACTAACAGAAGTACTGGGAGCATAAGCTTTCGTGGGTAAGAACCTCACCTCTTCAGATGT